AGGTTTCCCTCAACGACGGTGGCGAAACCTCTGTCAAGGGCAAGAACATTCTGATTGCGACTGGTAGCGAGGCCACCCCCTTCCCCGGCCTTGAGATCGACGAGAAGCGCGTCGTCACCAGCACTGGTGCGCTCTCTCTCGACAAGATTCCGGAGTCCCTCGTTGTCATTGGTGGCGGCATCATTGGTTTGGAAATGGCCTCCGTCTGGTCCCGTCTCGGCTCCAAGGTGACCGTTGTGGAGTTCCTCGGCCAGATCGGTGGCCCTGGAATGGACGCTGAGATTGCCAAGAGCTCTCAAAAGATCCTCAAGAAGCAGGGTATCAACTTCAAGACGGGCACCAAGGTCCTGAGCGGCGACAAGAGCGGCGATAAGGTCAAGCTGGAGGTTGACTCTGCCAAGGGTGGCAAGCCGGAGACGGTAAGAATTGGCCCGGAAACTGCTCTGACCCTAGAAGGTGCTGACTTATTCACTAGCTCGATGCCGACGTCGTCCTCGTCGCAATTGGCCGTAGGCCCTACACTGGCGGACTGGGCCTCGAGAACATTGGTCTCGACCTCGACGAGAGAGGACGTGTCATTATCGATTCTGAGTACCGCACCAAGATCCCTCACATCCGCTGTGTTGGTGATGTTACCTTCGGCCCCATGCTGGCGCACAAGGCCGAGGAAGAGGCTGTTGCTGTTGTCGAGTACATCAAGAAGGGCCACGGTCACGTCAACTACGGCGTCATCCCCTCCGTCATGTACACCCATCCCGAGGTTGCCTGGGTTGGCCAGAGTGAACAGGACCTCAAGTCTCAGGACATCCCCTACCGCGTCGGCTCATTCCCCTTCAGCGCCAACTCCCGCGCCAAGACGAACCTAGACACCGAGGGCATGGTCAAGATGCTCGCCGACCCCGAAACGGACAGAATTTTGGGAGTCCACATCATCGGTCCCAATGCTGGCGAAATGATTGCAGAGGCCACCCTTGCTCTCGAATATGGAGCGTCCAGCGAAGACATCGCCAGAACTTGTCATGCCCACCCCACTCTGGCCGAGGCCTTCAAGGAGGCGGCTATGGCCACTTACTCCAAGCCAATCCACATGTAAGGCCGGCCACAGCGATGTGATGGTGTGAGTGGTGGAAAGCTTTGGCGTCCTGAAATATCGACAATCGAAGCATGTAATTTGTATCACCCGAGGGACAGCGGATAGAAGTTCGAAGAGGTAGTTTGTAGCATAAGCATAAGTTTTTACGCCAGCTGGAAGGTTATCACCCAAGAAAGGGACCCGCTGTTACACCGAGTATACTCTCCCGTGATTGAGGTCCTCTGAATAGGTATGTAGCACTAGGCATATAGATAGAGTGCTCTCTGCTGAGGCATGTTGTTTGATTATATACCTACTCTGCTCGTTGCCGGCTGTGAGACGCTGCCAGCAGTACTAGAGAAGCTACACCCGAAGTCGGTCTCGGTATTTCTATCTGTCTACGGTGCTTCCCGTAATGTGATGAGTAGACAAGAAACTCTGGAGTATGTGGACTGTAAACGGCAGGGATGTAGCTGGAGACCACAAATTAGCTTACAGCTGTCTCATGTTTCCATGAGAGACCGCAGATGGTAATCATGGAGCTGCTTGAACTCATGCAGGGGCGCACCGGTGTTGTGTAATTCTAGATCATTGTGATTTTGCTCATTGATGTTCGAGCTGTTGATCTATGCATCTTCACCCATATCTGGCTTTTCTAGCAACGCCTCCGCCACCTTACACGCCTCCTTGACTTTTCTAGTCTCCTTTTTGCCGCCCACAAGGTCTGTGACTCGTACCTTTTTGCGCAAGAAATAGCCTACACTCCTTGCGAGGGCTGGCGTCAGACCGCTGCCGAAGCACACTCCAAGGGCCTCCTCCACGCTCTTGCCCTTCATGTGACTACACTCTTGAAGTATAGTAATGAGCATTACCTCGACAAACAAGCTCGTTTTCTCCCTGACGTAAGCCAGATTGAGTGGCTTGAGGATCCCTAGACTGACAGAGCCATCGGCAACTAAGCTACCCATCATCTTGGCAGTGTTGATGAGACGCCGGTCGTCTACCCCCTCCTCGTCTTCCTCCTCGGCCTCCTCTCCAAAAAGCGGCTCACCGAGCCTACGGAACAGGGTCCACAAGGTATCTTGAAATGCATGCTTGATCCGTGAATCGGTGCAGAACTTCTTGGATACCAACGTATAGAAAGGGTTGTAGTGTTGCTGTGCTCCTGAGCACTGGAGGAGCACGTTGGGCACCTCGCGTCTGTTGTATTTGTTGAGTCGTAGCTTGAGAATTCGCATGTATGCATCCTGATAATCGGCAGCTGCAACAAGCGCGATAAAGATGGCCCGTCGGACATCAGTGTTCATGCCTTGCTCTCTTGCCAACTGCGTGTAATCTTGAGTCGCCAGGTCGTCAGCATCCGCAACCACCACGTCGTCAACGTCTCCTGTGGCTGCGACCTTCTCATTATCCTTCTTTTCCTCTCGTGTACCCTGGCCTGCCCAGCTGGCTCCTACGAGCCACCATTTGCCCGTCTTGTCTGCGTTCTCAATATCCTTGAGACCGATGCGAAGGGGCTCTGATGCTTTGAGCTTTTGTGTATCAAGAGAACCCAGAACCTTTCTCATGCGCGTCACATGCTCGCCAAGAATAACCAGATCCTGCGCGCCGGCCTTGATCTTGTTATTCTTGAGGTCACTGATAGTCTCAATCATAAACCTGGTGCGAACCGTCAGGTTGTTCTCCCCAATCTTGGCCACCGCAGGACGAATCAAGCTGACGATATCTTTCAGCGCCAACGGGTCGTCCTTGCGTAGTCGAGGCCCTGATACACGGACAATTCGTAGTAAGAGCTCGGCATTCAGTTCTGATAAATCGCCAAGCAAGAGCCGCACAAAGTCGAATATCAGGTTGCTACCAATGACACGGAACATGTACATCTCCGCAAACACTGTGAGGAGGTTAGACGTCTCCTTCGTGGGTATGCGGCCTTCTTTGGACGCTACGATTGCTCGGTTCCTCTCCTCTTGAAAACGCTCAACAGCCGTGGTAAGGAAATGCGCGGCGAAATCGATACCGATGACCTTGTAGAGGGCAGCGACGAAACCAGCTGATAGGACGAGGAGCGTATCGGGCTTGCTTGTAGGATCGCAGACTTGAGCCATTAACAGGCTTGTCAAGATATAGTTGGTGTGGCCCCTCGGATTGTCCTGATAAATCTTGTCGATCTCACCAACAATGGATATCAAGTTTGCTTCAGTGACTCTGTTGACAGGACCCTGCAGCTTCCTTCGGATCTGAGCCTCAAGATCTGCATCGCCGCCTGATCGTGCTCGCAACGACGGCGGGATGTACTTGGGAAGCTGCGTGCCAGCTGAGACTGGTGGAAGATATGGATTCTCCCTGACAGGCTTGGATTCTTGGACAGTCTCCTCATCCTCAGAGTCGAAATCTCCCATTGAGCCCTGGTCATCATAATCGTCCTGATCTTCCATGGAAATTTCGTCGTCATCCTCGTCGTTTTCGTCATCTTCCTCCGATGCTTCCTCGTCTGGAAAAAGCGAATCATCTTCGTCTTCGTCGTCGCTTCCTATTGTAGGCCGGAACTTGGCTTGGTCGCGGGTTGCTTTCCTTCGTTTTGCCGCAAGCCATTCATCGGCCTCACTCTTGACTCTTCGGCTTCCTTCGTCCGATTCGTCGCCGTCGTTAAGATCGCCAAGCAAATCGTCGAGTCCGTCGTCCTTGAAAGCCTTTGGGATTGACTTCCGACCCTTTTTCAAACCCAGCTTACGCTCTAGCTGCTCGATTTCAGCGTCATCCTTGGCTAGCCTTTCTTGCACGGCACGGGAAGGCTGATTTAACGCTGGCTGCTGCTGCGAATTGTCGTCGTCGTCGTCTTGGTTCTTGCTTATATGTCCTCGCTTGCGCTTTTTCGGGGCAGGACTGTGTGGCTCGTCCGGTTCGTCGAAACGACGTTTGCCATCGTCACCCTTTCCGTGTTGGCTGACAGTACGTTGGTTCTGTACAAGGTGGTCCCGTTGCGCTGTTGTCTGTCGCTGCTTTTTTGACTGTCTGTCGGCTTTCCGTCGATCTTTTCTGTTCTGTCCCTGGCTCTTCCAACGAGGATTGGATCTGGAGGTGGCAGATGGCTCCGGCGCACCAATCTGTTTGAGCAGCTGTGTTGGTAAGGCGAGCGGCTTTGGAGGCATATCGTCGGTTGGTGAGACGTAGAAACACGATCTCAGGATTTGCAGTAGCAACAGAACCAGGTCTCGTCGAATGATGCAGAATCTCTTGCGCCAATGCCGACTTCAAGAAACTTTTTAGTGGGGCAAAGGGTCGAATAGGTACGGATACCTGAGCACCGATTCACCGATGCGCAAACGCGCCACACCCCGCTTCTTGTACCTGGTGGGCTAATAAGACCATTCTCATATATGGTTTCTTTGCTATATTTTCACATAATACCACGAGTTTCATTACTATTAGACCCCGTGAGTTAAGTTTGACTTGAAAATACTATACTAAGTTATCAAGAAACTTAAAATTTAATTATAACTTTATATAACTAACTTAACTATCTTTTTTATTAAATAAAAGTATTTAGTAAATTCTTTTATAAAATAATGAGGGTATTATTATAAACTTGAAAATCTTCAAGGTAACACTTTAGATAAAATTTTTTTTCTCAATACTGCTTATTTCTCATGGTCCCACTTGTAGAATCAAGACGTATTTCATTGCTCTGAAAAGCAAACTCCACCGCCCGCGGCCCATATACCTTAGCTTAGCCTTGCTGCGGGGGATGACCAAGGCCGCGCACAAGCACCCCAGCAGCCCGCTTCGCCGTCACCAAATTGACTGCACTTGTACATCGACATCCCACCATTCTCAGCGTCTTTGATGGGCTAACCCACCGCGCAGCTGCATTATCCTACTGTCGTGGTGCTTCGTCTGGCTGCACACGACGCTAGATGCTCCGGTAACCATGTCAGCTCACCTCAGTCACGAAGAGGTATACTCCTTCCCATTCCGTCCCTGTCATGTCTGATGCGTCCTTCTATAAGTCAATGGTCTTGCTAACCGTCCAACTGTAGTTCTTTGGCAAGTTGGCCGAGCTCTTCGAACAACGCAAGAGCAAGGGCCATGGCTCGATATTCCTCCTCCAGAAAAGATGTACGTCCACCACGTCGCAGCCGCACCCCGAGACTCCCAAAGACTTATCGTGTCCTCTAGTGACCTACGGCCAAGAAACGTCCTTGACACCATCCGGCGATGAATCCTTCTCCGACCTCCACCCCGCAAACCCGCTCCCTGTGATTGTGCGCGCGACAAACGGCAAGTCGAAGAAACATAGAGACGACAAGATCAAGCTGTCGACAATCGTTCAGCCCGATGCGCTGGAATCCTTCTACGCCAGCTACGCCGAGGTCTGCAAGGGGGGTATGGCAGCACTTAAGCCCCGCGATCGGAGTAAAAAGAAGGCCAAGGCCAGGAAGAAGAAGGGAGGTGCAGTCACGGCCGTTGCTACGGCCTGAGGAGAGGATACCTTGACACTATTGCGCCACCGATACAGTCAGGTTATATACCACCAACGTTTGTCCCCGACAAGGCAGCGCAGACCTTACAACGGGCCGAACGAGCTTACGACCAGACATCACGGACACTTCGTGAACGCTTCTGGCACAGGGCCTGGTACAAATCGTCCTGCACTCGAGGGTACATATGGGTGCATTCCCACCATACCGCCCAAGTGTCCTCGGTCTCTATCGAAGGTTTAATGATGACAGCCAAGGGCTGTATGGAAAGAGTGCCTCAAGGGTAGAATACATGCCCTTGGTACCCATGATGACTGGGCAGTATCTAGCCAGTAATCCACTTCATGTCATCAAATGTTCTATTGACTTTACTGTCACTATGCTGGCTGTCATGTTGTGCCCAACACTTGATACAGGAGTCTCATACAAAATACAAGCCTTCACTAAACCCCTCAATAGCCTCTCTCATACTGTTGCATTTCTCGCATTCCCCTCGTCTGGGCTTCTTCGGGTTTCCGACGTACATGCAGAGACTTTCTGGGCACTTGGATGTTTGATCGCTGCCCTCGCAACTCGCCAGTCTTTTGCGTTTCTGCCACCTCATCCCGCACCCCGGGCACCAGTAAAGATGCAGTTCGCACATGTTTATAGCATTCGTGTATGGTCGATATAAAATAACAGTGAAAGTGATTTACCGTCTCCAAGTAGGGTTTTGCTAATCATTTGCGAGGTAAAAGGTTGGACCCAAGGACCATCTGTTGCATGTGTATAGATGTACAGCGATTCTTCATCATTTTATCAAAATTGAGTTGTATGCGTAGGCAGATTCTCTCTGACTGGAACATCTGATCCACTGCCGTTTCAGCTTGCACGGAGTTGCAAGACCAGGGCCGCCAGCCGTAGTTTGAACATCGTGGTTTGCTGAAGCAAGCTGCTTGGTGGAATAAACACACTGGTCATGACACATTTGCTGTCAGCGGGTCGCGCCCACCCCCTTCAAGGCATTTCTCCTTACATTGGGGTCCGTCTAGGTAAATGAGATGTCCATTGTACTACACGTACATTGCATCCCTCTTACCATCGCGGCCGATGGCATAGCACTTCATGTCTCAAGCGCGGTGATTTTCGTCTGGCTGCATGCTGCTATAATCATCATGTCGGGGTCTTTTAGTCTCACACTGATCCGACGTTCTTGAATCTGAGTTCTATTCGAAATACATTCAAGGTAGAGGAGTCTTATTCACCTCCTACCTGGCTGGCTGGCCTCGGAAAAAGGCGAAGAAACACATCCAAGGATAACTTTTTTCTCGCAAGCCCGCATCTACTTCGAGCAGAAGCTGCTGAAGTACCTGTCTGCGATGACTACACGACTGAAGCAGATAGGACCCTCGTAGGTAACTGATAACAATGGCATTACGTGATGAGGAGCCGATGGAGAATGGTCGACGAGTCGTGCGCTGCAACCGATCATGACCGAGTCCATCCCGCCTTGAGAACCCGAAATGCAACTCGAAAAGGAAATTTTGCCATTTTGAAAGTGAGAGCAAACGGAAAGGAAACGTGTACCGTTTTATGAGTGTACAAGAACAATTTTGCAGGCTGTTGAATGATGGCTTGCCACATCGAATGACCGGGCTGTCGCTCATGTGAAATGACGAACAAGCCAGGGCCCAGTCCTCCGGATGCCATGTTGATGGGGCATCACCTCATTCGAAACACTTTACATGATCTGATCCTGCGTCAAGCCCGCGTGGACATCGGTATCCATGCTATCACCACCACCTTGAGCGTTGAGGTATCTGACGAAGCTCAGTCCCAATGGTCGGCCACCATATTGGTAGCCCTGGAACTTGGCGATTGCAGTTTCCGCAGTCTCTGCAGAGTCGAAGCGGACCACGCCAGTTCCGCGAGACCGACCGCTCGGCTCGTACTGAATCTCGGCCTGTTCAACCTTTCCGATAGTCGTGAACAGTTCAACGAGATCCTCGTTGCTCGTGGACCAGGGAAGCTATCTAGTGTCAGTGAGGTTTTGAAGGAGGAGCGAGAAAATGGACCTACGTTTCGTGTATAGATGACCTCGCTGCGATCGGTTCCAGCGGTTGCGTAGTCAGTAAAGGGGTTAGGAGGCACAGAAGGAGCGTTGCCAGCGTCAAAGCCGCCAGGACCACCGGGGCCACCAGGACCGCCGGGGCCGCCGGGGCCGCCGGGGCCGGGGCCGCCGCCGCCAAAGCCTCCACGACCGTACCCGCCGCCGCCAAAACCACCACGACCACCGCCAAAGCCGCCTCGACCGTATCCGCCGCCGAAACCGCCTCGCATGCCACCACCGAAGCCGCCTCGACCTCCGAAGCCCATGGGGCCTCCCGCGCCAGCGAATCTGTCCTCACGGACTTCGAGGAGACGTCCTTGCCAGTCATAACCGTTGAATTGCTGAATCGCATTGCGGGCATCGTCGGGGTTCTCGAACACGACAATTCCCGATCCCTTGGGGCGGCCATCAGGTCCTAGATGAACATCGGCGCGGATTACGACTCCGTTGCGAGCTAGCACATTTGATAATAAGTCTCCAGGTATCATCGCGACGGGGGCCAACAGGGTTTGTTGGCAAAGGAACTTGGAGTGTTCTACTTACCAGCCTGTCTGAACAGGTCCTTGAGGTCTTGCCAGCCTACGGTGTAGGGAAGCTACGAACAACTTCAGTCAGTATCGAAAGCGCTGGGATCTGACGCCAAGACGAGGGGTAACAAACGTTGGCAACATAGATCTGTCGGCTGCCCCCGCCGGGGTTGTAGCCGCCGCCGCCACCGCCGCCGCCGAAACCACCGGGGTTCATTCCACCACCACCACCGCCACCAAAGCCGCCGCGGTTGGCAGTGGCGCCGATGAAACGAGGTTCAGCTTCGCGATCCTACAAGCCCATGGTTAGACAACATTCGACGAACCACGAATTGGCATTCCACAACGTACCTCTCGAACGTAGACAAGTCGACCCATGAGGTTCTGGTTGCTGAGGGTAGCCACAGCGTTCTGGGCTTGGTCCCGCGTCGCATATTCCACAATTCTGCGAGTTCGCTGTTAGCATCTGTCGCAGTTGGACCTGGGGGGAACAAGTGAACTTACCCGCATCCCTACATACACCCACGGACACAAGTCCCAACCCGTCAATCCAACGATTCCATCAATAGCCAGAGGGAAGAGTCCACAAAAGAAAAAAACCAGCCATAGACTACGTGTAGAAGCCCACCTTCGACATTCCATTTGGAAGTAATAACACGTCGGCGAAGAGAACCTCTCCAGCTGCACCACCACCAGTCAGCTTACGCAACCCAGGCCAATTCACCAAAGAACCGCACTCACCCTGTCGCATGAAGTCCTTGAGATGATGCCACTTCACATCGTAGGAAAGGTTGCCGACGTAGACGCGGCGATCCTGCTGAGACGTGTCCCTAATATTGCTCATCATTTGCTCGCGGGCGGCTGCGCGCTCCTCATACGATCGGTGTGGCGGTGCCCCTCCGTAGCCAGTGCTAGATCCTCCAGACGGAGCGCCGGTTCCAGTCATGGGGGAACGGTCTCTCCTTCCGCGGTATTCGTCTCTACTACGGGATCGGCTCCGAGGAGAAAAGGAACGGCGTCTTGATGCGCGGTTGGGACTGCGCGAACGTCCACGTCGAGGCGATCGAGATCTCTCCCTCTGTTGCAAGTTAGCGATGAACGTCGCCATTGGCCGAAGCGTGTATGCCCAGAGGACTCTGCTGTTGTTTCGCAAATCACTTGACGTTGGTGAAAAGTGGTTGACAGGAGGCGTGGTTTGATGGCGTCAGGTTAGGTGAGGGGGGGTAGCTTTGGAGGCAGGGAGATGAACAGGGTATGTCTGCAAAGCAGAGAAGGTACACCCGGAAGGCCAGCCAAACAAGGTCAGGCAGGCGCTGCACCACCCTCGACGCTTTCCTCTCCTGATTGCCTGGATGGAAAGAAGCAAGCGTCGGTGAATCGCAGAGCCAGCGCAACTGGAGAACGAGAGTGCGGTAATGGTGAAGCGCCTGCTAGACCTTCCGTCTTCTTCAAGACGGCGTGGCACAACTTGCGAGCATGAGGATGGTGGGAAGGGGGACCGCAGCGGAGGCACAGACACCGGCTCGGGCGGAGAGGAACGGGGAAAGCCCAGGGCCAGGTACCGGCTCGACAATGATTCCGGACGGTCGCTTTGAGTTTGGGACAACAGAAGGAATTGGGGTGATCTTACACTCACGGGTCGATAGGTGTCGCCGGAGTCAGCTACAAGAGATTGAGTTAGTTCGAACTGCCGGAAAGCTAGGGATTTCCCAGAGCATATGGGACAAAAAAGCAACAGTAACACGAGAAGATGGCTAAGGAGATAGGAAGAGAGGGAGAGAGGGGGAGGAGAGAAGCAAGAGAAGGAAAGGAGGGTACCGGCGAGGATATTTGGATACCTTACTCGAAAGGTGGGCAGCAGCGAAGGGGGACGAGGGGGGTACGAGACCAGTTGGTGGAGAAGGAGTGGAAAGGAAATGCAGCTGGCGGACGGTACGCAAGGAAGGAACGGTATTCGTTCAGTCTTTTGTGCTCTCTCTTTCTCTCACTCTCTGTAGAGGAGGGGGTGGGAAAGCGAGGGGGAAGCAGAAGGGAGGGGTGGGTGGGAGAAGGAGAATGGATGTGGCGGGGAAGGGGGGGGGGGGGGACCATCAAGCCTATGTAAGGCAAGAAAGATATGGGCTGGGCTGAGGTAGGTCGGTGTTCTTCTCACGCATGTATATGTAAGGAAGGCATGGCATGAATTGATGGATCAACGGATGGGGGGATGATTGGGATTGAACGGTTGGGTGGATGGAGGGATGTCCGCATGTGTCCCAAGTCAGGCATGCGCGTGTACGAAGGGTGTACAAAAGGCAGGTAGGCATGAGCAAGCGTACGTATATGTAAGGCTAGACATGGACAATACTGCGCGTACTTGCCCAGGACAGCGGCAGGAGGAAGTGTGAGGCGAGAGTAAGGTAGGGGAGGTGACAGGAGCTGCTTGGAAGATGCTAGCTGCAGGACCTGGGGGGGGGGTAGGAGGAGGGGGGGTAAAGAAAGTGTTCGTCACAGCAATGGACGTGGTTTCCAAGCTGGAGAGCTGTTGCGTCGTTTCGGACCAACATGAGGGATGGTGTCGGGCTGGGCTCCAACTCCCAGAAGAGCATGGAAAGCTCCAGCTCCAAGCCTCAAGCCTCAAGCCTGTGCTAGGTCGGACCAAGGGAACATGAAAGGGTACATTTGGATCGAGAAGGTCCACGTAATAGAAGTGAATGGGTAAGGTAATCAGATAGGAGGAGGGGAAGCAGGTGAAGCCAATGCCATTTCAGCTCAGAGAAGGTACTTTGAGGCAAGGAAGACGCGGTGAAATTGCGGTACACCGTACGTACGGTGGAGGCTCAATCATGGGAAGGAAGTAGAACGGAAGGTAAGGTAGGGAGAGTGACCATCCAACGGTAGATGACGAGCCGCAAGACGACGAGCTGGTGATGGTGGTGCTGGGGGACAACGAATGGTAACAGTTGAAGAGGGAGAAAATGAGAGATTCGATCAAGACTCACCCATTGTGACGGACGACTCGGGCGATGCGAGAGAGAGGGGGTGAGAGTGGTAAAGATTGGTTGGCAACTCGATACAGAGTATGTTGTGCCGTGTTGCGATGTGAGGCGTTGTTGGTTTGTTGCTGCTGTGCGTTGCTTGCCGTGATGCGATACGTTGTGAAGTGATGTGACGCGCGCGCGTTACTGTCCTGAAGAGATACCTGAGGTCGGGTCAGGCAAGGTAAGGTATCCGTAGATGGAGAAGGGTGTTGAGGTAATGTGGGCGGCAGGCGCAAGGCGACCAAGGTCAGGTAAGGTCAGGTCCAGGCAGAGGAAAGGATGGATAGCGTGAAAACAAAGGACAACGGGTCCAGTCTCCCCGTGTTTGTGTGTGTGTGTGTGTGAGAGGTGAGAGAGAAGTTGGGCGGGTAAGGCAGTGAGATGACGGGAGTGTCTGCGCGTGTGGTGTTAAGGTGTGTGTGTGAGTGGGTAGTGAGGTGGGCGGCGAAAGCAGAACGGAACGGAGTGATTTGACACGAGCTGGCTCGGAAGAACCTCAGCGACGCGGCTTTGGAAGCTGTGGCGCACGCGTGGGGGCGGCTTCACTAAGTAGTGCCTTGGGTGCTTGAGTCCAGACGACACTGGCGACTGGAGCTGAGGAAAGAGAGCTACTTACCTGAGGTAAGCTAACTAAGTCAACCTAGGTGAGGTCGGTAAAGGTCTGCTAGGTAAAGCAAGGTAGACCTCGGTCAGTATTCAGGTTCCAAGGCTGAAGATGGCAACTGACAGAGGTGGGTTGCTGAGGAAGGTGTGATGCCAATGGAAGAAGTGCCTAGTTGTACGGAGTATGGAGCACTGGATCGATGGATGGGGAACTGTTTGGCGAGGTGGTAGGTAAGTGGTAGGAGGCACGGAGGATGTTGTGCCTTTCCGCTCAGCAAAAAAAAAAGAAGCGAAATGCAAGGCAGGCACGGTAAGGTACGATGGGGGGAGGGGAATTGGGCGAGGCCACCAACCGCTCACCTCTCGGCGCAACTGCAGCCAATTAGAAGCCAGGAGCTCGAGAGGAAAGGCTCCAAGGGCGCCAGGCATCATCAGGCATCCGTCATGTTGGTCGTCAAATGGAAGCTCGACAGCTAAGGTAGGCACGTTCGAGCTTCGAAGCTTCTTGGTAAGGTACAGCAAGGTAAGTGGAGGTACCTAGGTACCTAACGTATCTGAGAAGATAAAACAAGCAGGCACGCAGGTGAGAGGTAAGGTCAGGTATGTATCTCACGATTCTCATCAAGCCTACCATTAGATACGGATTCCCGTAGGCACACCACGCATTGCCTACCTTATTCGGTTGCTTAGGTACATTAGGGTACGCAGTAGTGTCGTCGTCTTCAAGATAATCAAGGTACCTAAAAGTTCTTGGAGTTTACCTACTCACGTCGGATTCGACATTGCGCCCGTAGCTCCCATCCTGATCCGTGCATAACCCGTCGACGTTCCCGCGGAACGAGCTTCTCCACGTTCATTGGTTACAGGTGAGCTGTGCTTGTGGAGAAGAGCTGCAGGTAATCATGTAATTAATGTGAACACTGAACAGGCACAGCAGACGGCGGAGCTCTAGCACCATCAAATGACGAATCATGTTGGTGGAGAGAATGGTCCAATTCGTTACGAATGGGTACCGGGAACGCAGCATGCTCTTCACTTTTGCACCTTGCTGCTGCAGGCCAGCTACGGCCTACCTACCTGAGGTACGGCAAGGTAACATCTATTGCTGATACACTACCTACTCCGTCCACGGCATTGGCACCTTAGCGACGTCTGATTTGATGCCTACCTCAGCTAAGACACACACCCCCACCCCTCCTTGAGCATTGAGCGAGCACCGAGCAGTGAGGTCTGACTGTCCCGAAATGGCGGCAGAAATGGATATTTCCCGACACTCGACGTTGAAACCGCCATTGTCGAGGTATTGCCAGGATCTACATACGGATGCGAAGGAACAGTCGGTACCAGCAATACAACCAACGTGTCTAGCCAGCCGAGTACGGTGTCCTGTGGGCGAGAGGCAGTTGGCATTTCTCCCCACTGGCTTTATTTCCGCAAGGAACCTCACAGCAGGGCTCCTTCAGCCTGCCTTATGCGTATACCGTATGACCTCTCGGGGAGTCGAGAAACTAGACAGCATCGAGGCTTGAGGTATGGTCAAAACCTTGCATACAAGCGTCCAAGGTACAGCCCGACCTTGCCGTATGATGTTAGGTACCTACCTCCCCACTCTGTCCACCAAGGTGTCACATCCCCAGGAAGGTATTCCCGCTATCCTCCCTGTTCAGCTGTAACCTTGAGGGCCATAGTGGCTCTGCTGAGAGCCGGCGTCCAGTCTTCCACGACGCATTCTTCACAGTCTTCACACCAAGGCAAGTAATAAATACAGCCCGTATCTTTGACGTTTGCCGGCGGGAGGGTCCCGGTCTGAGTGTGGATCGAAAAGCCCGCCTAGCTGTGCAGACTGCAGCCCCCAACCACTGATGGACATCCCATCAGCCGGACTACCTTAGTACCTCAACCGTTCCGCTGGCTAAGGTGCTAAGGTAGGAGTGACCCGAATATTCCCACACTGCTCCGTAGGTATGAGGACATTTCCTCGGCCCGTTGATTTCGTGGAGTATCAATAACTATCGTACCTCAAGAAGTATCGGCAGATACGTCCTTGTTCATGGCTCCGAGCTAAGGTATTGCTCACCAAGATGCACATATCAGTTGAGCGATTGATACGGAGTAGCTTGAAGCATGTTATAGTGCTCAAACTAAGTCGTCACATTGATGTGAGTGCGTAAATGTGATCTGAATCACAGCATCTGGAAAGCAACCCAATCAATATCGTTGCTTGAACCGACCATCAGATTGGCGCAGATGTCGTGTCACCATGGTGAGGAAAATGAGGCGTCCCGCAGTAAGCCTCTCAATCGTCTATACCGAAGGCAACCCGGGTGAGGGAGGTAGTTAGGTAGTCATAGAAGGTCGACTCCAGTTCCGGTGTATTATACTACTATAGAAATACTCCAATCACGATGCATTCTTCCTCGCTTTTCATCTTCTCTGGTGGTGCACACTGCCCTTGATTGTGTAGTTATAATTCATCAACCTTCTCGCTTCTCGCTTGAGGTTGATGTATTAATAGTTCTTCTCCTTGAAGTACGAATAGGTATGCCGACTCAAGGGCACAGAGCAAGGTACCGGGGCAGCTCAGCGCAATCCCTGGAGAAATTGGCCGATCCGAAGAGCCAGTGCGCGCATGTATGACGCCCGGGCGGGTTCACCCGAACGATTCGGGATGGCTTAGCCCGGGGGAAGGACGGGCCAAAAAAAAAAAAGAAGAGGCCCTCTGGAATCAGCCAACGTTCGTCGAAACCACAGACGTAGCAATCCCCGTTGGCCAAAAAAGCTCGCCTTCTTCTCGCCCGTCACCATGTCCATTCCTTGCCGTCCGGCTGCCAGATTGGCATTCCGCTCCCTGCGCCAGTGCCCGAGAGCTTCCGCTGTCGCACCCCGGGCGACTCGTGCCTACCACTCCTACGACCACCCGGATCCGACAACGACCTTCCACCCCCACGAATCGACGATCCTCTCCGCCGCGTATAAGCATGTCCCAGAGCATGGCTTCTCACAAAAGGCCCTTGCCCTCGGCGCCAAGGACGCTGGGTACCTTGACATTAGCAGCAGCGTGCTGCCGGACGGCCCCTTTAGCTTGATCCGCTACCATCTCGTCACAAAGCGCGAAGGCATGGCCGCAAAGGAGAAGGAATTGTTCGAAGAGAGCTCGCAGGTCGGTGTCAGCGAAAAGGTGGAACTTCTCACCTGGGAGCGGTTATTAGAGAACAAGGCCGTCATCAACCGGTGGCAAGAGGTGAGCACCGCTCCTGTGTAGAGTCTGCACGGAAGACTGTTTTGGCTTTAATACTTACGATGGATGCAACAGGCCCTGGCGATCATGGCGCAACCGAGCTATGTGCCCGCTTCTTTCAAGGAACTCGCCAAGTTGGTCGACGAGATCTGGTTCCTTTCAGGCGACACTGCCGTCGACCCTTCGTGGTATACCAAGCGCGCCAGCCTATCGATGATATACGCGTCGAGCGAGCTGTTCATGACCAACGACAAGTCGGCCGGTTTCAAAGACACCAGAGACTTCCTGAGGCGGCGACTGAGTGAGGTCAAAGAAGCTGGCGGTGTCATGGGTTCTCTGGGACAGTGGGTTGGTTTCACAGCTAGCGCGGGTGTAAACGTTCTGAGGAGCAAGGGAGTGCGAATCTAGGCCTCCTCAGCGACAACGATTTGTGTATAACAGGAACCACCGAGGTCGAGTTCTCGCTGTGTATGCTATTGTATAATATTGTTTGTAGTACGCGGACTTTGTCGCCCGCTGATAATGTCCCTGACGCCCTTCCATCCAGCCGTCTCACTAGATGCAGTCCCGGCACATGCTACCGTAGGTAGATGAGCCCTTATCCATGACTATGAGGGGTATGTTGCCCAAACGCCGGCCACTGCCAAAAAAATTAAATTTCATTTGTCCCTCCACCCGCGCTTTTTAATTGTACGAAACTTGATTGACCAGAACACCGTTGCTATTGAAATCGTGTATAAAAGCTAGCCAGCTGGAGCGTTAAACCAACGTCCGCTGCCGGGGGTCGGTCAGACTGTCACATGTGTTAGCCGAAATTCAGACAGGAGCAAAGCGAGTATTGTCCTCCGACATGAGACGACGTACCGGATGATTTTGACGTCCTTCTCGAGCGTGGCTCGTCCTTCGATCGCGTTTGGTGTAATCATGATGTACTGGCGTGACACGGAGCGTCTAGCAGCGGTGATCTGGGCAGAACAGTCCTTGTTAGCATACCAAATCCATTTACGGAGTAGGTGAGACGAAATCAGACTCACAAGCATGTTTGTGCTGATGGTACGGTTGACGTTGTCCATGAAGACGTCAAACTCGTCCAGACATCGCAGGGGTGAGCCCATGGCCTCCCAAATAGCTAGCAGCATGCAGATGGATGAGAATGATTTCTCACCACCCGACAACGTCTTTGTGCTCCGGCCTGCAGTGCCCTTACGGGTTTCATCTGGTTCCACAAAGAGTTGCAGCCGACGTTGCGGATGGTCAATGGCAAGCTTGCCCCTGAAACCACGCTCGCTCAACAGGTATTGGAAGCAGATGCGAGCACGCGCCGAGATATGTCGCTGGAATAGTCGCCACCTGTTCAGTCGGTCTTCCAGATTGAGCTTGCCTGCCGCTTGCTCCTCCTGCTGGCCCTTGTAGAGTTGCTGTGAAGCTTCATATGCAGCCTCAGCCCTAGCCGCCCGTTCCTTTATCTCCTCATCCGATGCTCCCAATCTTTGAGCCCTCTTCTCCAGCTGTTGGTGGATGACAGCGTACTTGCTCTCGATACTCCTGTGAGTCTCGCCTTCCTCGATATACACCCTCTGCGGCGCCTTGTCCATGGCTTGTGCAGTAAAGTTGGCGACAACTTCGGCCTGTTCGTCTCGCCTCGTTTCTGCTCGCTCTTTCTCGAGAACCGCATCGTCACGCTCTTGGAACGCGCGGTTTTTCTCGAGAACTGCCATTTTCCGCAGGTCTTCCGCTTTCTGGACTGCGAGTTGCAACTTCGTAATTCGTGCCTGAAAGTCTTTCATTCTTCCCTTCTCCTCGGCAAGCGTCCTCTTGCACTCTTCGCATTTCTTGTTGAGTTCATCTTGTCGCAGTCGCATTTCGCCATATTGGGTTCCATGGTGCTCTCGCTCGGCTTTGATCTTCTCCAACTCTTCCCGGAGTGAAATAAGCCGGCCATCTGCTCCTTCGTATTGGTCCAGTTCGGCAGAGATGTCTTCAATCCTGGCCTGAACCCGCCTCAGCTTCCGCTCGAGGGACTGCCCCTGTTGCTGTTGGCTATTCAGAGCGGTGCTGCATTTTGCGACCGTCTGGTCAAGCTCTCGCCGCTTGAGCTCGATAGAGCGCAAGTCTCCACGTAGATGAGTTAGTGATTCCTTTGCCAAACTGATTTGGGTCTGGTCGTCAGACTTCATCCTTGGCGCTCGAGGGAAGGGGTTGATGGTTCCTGTGTTGTATCCCGCACCGCTTGATCGGGCCATGCGAAGGCCAAAACCTCTCTTACCCGCGCCATCGTGGAGAGAGATGCAAGCTTGGACGTTTGGTGGAGGCGAATCGCTCATCATAACATCTTCTGCCTTGGTCCTTTCTCTTATCAGGACGATCTTGTCGATGGTGTGCGCCACGATGAGCTGACTGCGGACCCAATCATTGTCGAACTTGAGCACCCGGAGGACAGTGTCAAAAGCTGCGTCCGGCTCTCTAAGGTGAGTGTTGGGCGGCAGTCGCTTACTGATGATAATGGGAGGAAAGCGTTGCAAGTTGACTTGGTTCATCAGTTTTGTTAGACGTTGTTGATCGGACTTGTTAGACACAAGGAAGCCATCCAGCGTTGCGCCAAAGACTGTCTCCAAAATGGGTGACCACTCGGGTTGAGTGAGCTGGACGTGGGCTCCAAGAGGCCCGACGGGCTTTTCGTGAAATCCATTCTCTCGCTCGATTGCTTGAAGAAGGAGAGGTATCTTCTTATCGTAGGCAGCCCAAACAGAGCCTCTGTTCTGCTCCAGGCTGCGCAAACGTCCCTCTGCTGAGTTGATTTCGGCCCTCTTCCTGTCGATATCGGCCTTGCCCCCTTGTAAGGCAGCCTGAGCCTGGTTCAGCTCTGCTCTGAGTTGCGGGACTGTATCGTTCTCGTCTGCGATTTGTTGTTTGATCGTAGACTCTTCAGCTCTTGCTTCGTTCAGGAGACTCTCCTGTTCCTGGCGAGCGCTTCCGGCTCCAGCGCCCAATCGCTGCTCCTCGGCTTCAATTTTGGTCTCAAACTCAGCCACTCCTTGCCCGGCGCTTTTGAGCCGTTGCTGAACATCTCTGAGTTGGTGGTGTATGTCGGTGACGGATTGCTTGGCGTCATGATACGCTTCTTCAGCAACGGCGATACTTTCCTGAATGGCACCGGCATCCTGTGATTCGGATTCGACTGCACCTTGAGCACGCTCCAGGTGCTCATCGCGCTGGTTTAGAGCTTGTGTTGTGCGTTCAATGAGCATAGTGGTGCGTTGAATTTCCTCGTCCAGAGCAGCGACTTCCTCATTGCACTTGGCGAGCCCATCTTCTTGCTCAGCTACCTGTGACCAGTAAAGCTGATTGCGGAGACGGCGATACGTCTTTCTCATTTCTTCGTTCTTCTGAGCGATGTCCTTGAGCTTCTGTGCCTCCGAATGCTCTCTCTTCGCACGACGGACATGTTCCTCTAGGCTTGGAAGCTTCGCCTCATGGCTCTCGAGAATCTCCGTTAGGAGTTTGTAGTCGTTATCAAGCTGTTCGAGCTGGACACCTCGAACAAAAAATTTGTATTTCATGGAAGGCGAGGACGAGTTCAGGAATTGACGAGCGTTATCTTGCGACAGGACGTTCAGTGGGTTATCGACCTGCAAAGCCCAGTACTCGGAGATCTCGTCAACGTCTGCCTTCTTTGTAGAAATTGTTTTTCCAGTCACACTCTTGAGCTTGAAGCCACTGGCGCCAGCCCTAGAAAAATGTCGTTCGACTCTGATGGTTTCGCCGTATAGATCGGGTTGATAAGCGTCTATACCCTGGTTCTTAATCCTCACAATGATGACTGAATTGTCTCTGCCTTCTTTGATGAAGCTCTTGAGACTTCCGCCTCTGTTGGTAGAGCTAGCCTTGCCGCCAAGACACAATGTCAAGGCCGTGAGGACTGCACTCTTGCCACTTCCATTCTCGCCGACGATGAAGTTGATCAGGGGACCGAGCTCAACAAAGAGGCGTTCGTGGCACATGAAGTTGATGCACTCGACACTCTCGATAATGCCGTTTTCGGCAGCATGGTTGTCGCCGATGCGCTGTGGGCGGCTCTTGACTTTCTGCGTAGCACGTTGATCGTCTTGATCCTCGTACTGCAAGTGCCTGAAGCCATCGTCTCGGGCAATTTCGTATTGGGTTCGGGGAGGTGAGTCACGACCGGCTCGTCTGTCCTCCTCTTCCTCGTCTGCACCGTCTTCGCTTCCGGAACTTGGGAACTCGTCCCTCTTTGGGGTTGGCTTAGTCGGCTGAGCGGTGTGTGATAGTCGGACTCGCTTTGACTACGGAATTTGAGAAGTGTCAGTTGATATCATGGATATTCCTGGCGCCATCTTCTTGGAGAAACATACGGGCGCATCCTGACCGAGGTTGGACCTTCCATGCCGCATCTCAACCAGCTCTTCCTCCTCTCCAGTGCCTGCTTCCGACACGGCGTGGGATCTTTTGGCGGGGGCCATGGCGAGTACCTCGGAAAATGCGCCTGCAATTGCGCCTGCCTCGAAGCGTCGCGCAATAATGAATCAATGTGCCTATTGCGCTAGGCGTCGATAAAGGTATTCGCAGATGTCGGGTTCGTTGGATATATTGAGCTTTGTGGCCTTCCAGATTGAAGGAGCATGAAAGCTTCGTGAGACGCGTCGAATGGCGGAACGCGACTGTGTAATTGTCCGCGGTGGGGGGTTGCGGTAAGGTACTTAGTTCTGCCTGCACCTTGCGTTAATCGAGCACTTAACGCGCACAGTGCTTTCGGGCAGGCGCACTCGAAATTAACTGTACCGGCAAGACGACTATTTGTGGGGCGCTCCTTTGAGCCACAACGACGGGATGCGCTGGCAGCCAGTCACTCCAGTCTCCAGAGTCTGAGATGTAATTATTGAAGGAATTCTATCGATTAGTTCAAGGCGAATACTCGCTGTCGGCAAGTCAAGCCCGAAAACTCTGGCACTGGGGTGTTCTGAAATACGTACTCACGAACACCAACACGTTGATACCCCAAAAACCCTCTTCCGATTTCTGAACTCGCTTGGTGTGAAAGAAGCTCAGCTGAACTCCACTCAAATTAATCGGCTGTGTCTGCAAACTGGGCTAAAGCTTACGATTCTGCCGTAAAAGAACAACAACAGTGGCCGTCGTCTGTCTGCGCGCAGTTCCACAATCATCTGGCGAGCTTGATCATCTCGAAGTAACCTGACATGGCTGGTTCACGAGAAGGGACAGGAGATGGAGAGGACAACCACGAAAAGAATGCCCCCAACTTACAGGACAATTGCGTCGAATATAGCATCTTCCTCGTTGACCCCAAAGCCGCGAATGATCCACTAAAGCAACTTTCCCGACTCGAAGATCTACGAAAATCTGCTTTGCAACTCGCAAGCTCCCTGACTGCAGACTATATTTGGCAAAAGGGCCTGTTTACTCTCGACGTGGTAACAAAGCAGGGTTCGTCCGACTCCAGAATGATCTCGTCTTTCGATTTGAGTGCTAAGACTTCGACAGGCAACTCGTTTCTACGAGGAACGACGGACTACGGGGATGCGATCGAGGACGAATGGCTGATTGTCTTCATCCTCAGGGAGCTTTCCAAAGCTCACCCCACGGCATGGATCCGTGTCTTTGACGCTGATGGGGAGTTTCTCCTCATAGAGGCGGCCAACGTTCTTCCCAAATGGTTGAGTCCTGAGACGGACCACAACCGCGTCTGGATCAACAATGGTCGTCTGCGAATCATCCCTCACACACCCGAGGACGGCGCCAAAACCCGGCTGTTGACATTGTCAGACGCTTTGCGGGCCATCAAGTCCACCGCTGAATCTCTTTTGCACTCCGAGTTCATAGAGGCCGAGGCCTTCTACCGCCTTGAAAAGTACCCTGACCAGATTCGCAAGTCTATACACCACTCGCTCGTGACGATCCCTCGAAGACTTGTCCATGTCTTGCGCCAAACTCCCAAAGCCGTTGCACCAGCTGTAGAGTCATTCTACCTCCGCGATGCGCTAGATCTGAACGCTCTCCTGTCCAGCAAGAAGAGTCTTACTTTCCCCCCGGTTGATCTTGTCACAGTGAGCGTCAGGTTTTCCAGGGTGTTGTTCGCTCAACTCAGATCGCAAAGGTTCGAGCCTCCTGCACCGTGGACTGATATTATCCAACGGGCCAAGGGGGTCGAGCACACACGTCTGGAGATTGGCATGAAACTCACATGTGGATTCGAAATAATGCTCAACAACGTTGAGAAGGCTGATAGCCGTGAGGCCAGGGCGGCTAGCATTGTTGTTGAGGAACTCGAGGAGGATGGAGATTCAGTGCTCCCTACGGACAAACAAATCCTCAGCTGGAAGGATGCCAGTCGCAATGATGACGAGTCCTGGATGGACATCAACTACGAAGACTTTGAAAGGGAGCTGTCGGGACGTCAAGGCGGTTCTCAATCTCAGCCAAAATCAAACTTTGGGGATGCTACGACACAAGCAGACCTGCGCAAAATCGTCTCCCGGTTCGAGGCCTTCCTCAACGATGAGAATGCAGGACTAGACGGTGCCGAGATCGATGAGATGGACATTGATGACGACGACGAAGAATCCGAGGGAGGGGAGACAGACGAAGATGACGAGGATGAAGACAAGGCGGTCAGCTTTGATGAGGCGGAGTTTTCTCGTATGATGAGAGAAATGATGGGACTCGCACCCGCAGAGTCCGACGTTCGTGATGTTCCGGGCAAATCGCCTGCGGCGACAGAGAACACTAAGCCCGTCGGGCGGGGCGAGGAACCTGATGACGATGACCTTCGGAAGCTTACCGCTGCGTTGGAAGCAGAGCTCAATGAGCACGGTGCTCTGAAGTTGGATCAACCTCAAAACAGGGCCCTTAAACAGAAAAACCAAGGAAAAAAGGAGGCGTCTGGCCAGGCAGGCAGTGTACATGAAACGAGCAATGGTGAGGAGGAGGCAGACGACGAAGTTGACATTGACTACAATCTGGCCAAGAACCTCCTCGAAAGCTTCAAAGGTCAGGGTGGTATGCCAGGTCCGGCTGGGAATATTCTGGGCATGATGGGACTCCAGCTACCGCGAGACGAGGACGACAGTTCAGGGCAAGGCAAACAGGAGCGATAAAGCTAGACGGCTGAGATCCTCTAGATCACTAATCAGTCTTCATTGAAACAATGATTGCATCTTCTTCCCGGAAGCAACCGTGCGCCAGGCTCTAGACGTGTCTTTCCCCCAAGTATGTTCTAAGAATGTTCGTTCATCATAAGCATCACTGTTCAATACACGACCGCCGTCTACTATTCAGACGATTCCCCGCTCTTCGACCGTTTCTTTGCCGGGCTTGATTCGCCGCTTGGTCTTCTCCCTCTCCGTGTGCCAGCATCATCGAGAGCATCAAGCTGCGCCAAGATAGTGTTCAGCCTCTTCCGTGCCTCCAACTCGCGCCCGCTGATGTCCTTTTGCGGGCGAAAGTATGTCCTGGCAATATGCGTGATTGTATGGTAGCAGTCGTACAGCAAAAGGCGGACGTGCGCCCTCTCCTTGTCTTCAATCAGATCCGAAGAAAACATCGACATGATGGTGTGTCGAGTGTTTGAATCTCCGTTGAATCCCGCAAGAAAATCACCACTAGGCTCACGACCGATATTGAGAGCAAACAGCGGGTCTCCAAAGATGAAGTTGCTCCAATCCTTCATGCCAGCCATGACGATGCCATCGTTGTATGGCAGAGCGAGTGTAGTGCTGTCTCCCGAATCCGAACCGGTGTCATACTCATCGCCAACCTCGCTACTTGCGTCACTGCCGTGTCGGTCTGCGTCTTGTAGTCTGCCCCGTGGCCTATCCTCAACCAGAGATGCGTCCTCTCCGGGGCTTCTCTTTCTGAATACCAGGGTGTTCACATCCTTCCCGACATCGACAGCCACCAGCCGGGGTGTTTTGATTCCATCCAGCACGTGTTCGAAGCGTTTAAACTGCCGTCGGATGGCGCTGTAACCCAGCATCACTTGCATATCCTCCCCATCACGAAGCACAGCTTCTAGCATTGAGTGGAAAGCCGTAGTCCAGGAGTGGACTCCTCTTGACTCCATCAATCTCGCGGTGATATCTCGCCTCGCGGGCTTCGTGGGATCTGTAGCGGGTGATGGCACACAGGTAGGTAGAACAGCAAACGCAGGCCCAAATCGCCCAGTGGGTGATACCTGCTCGCAGAGCTGCCGGTACAGTTGGCCAATTTGAAAATCGATCGTTCTTCGTTCGGACGTTGAGAGTGGTGGACTGAGTTCGGAGATGGGGGTGCCTATTGTTGGCTTGACGAGGTTATATTCGAGGCCCAGCTCGTTGGATGCGGCCGTATGTGATATGAGGGTTGGAACCAACGCCCGCAGTTCTTGCACCGCGATGTCAGAATGACTGGTCGTTCCACTCTCAGGAGTAGCTATGGGAGAGGTTGGCCTGAGTAAGACTTCCGGTTCCGTGATTTTCTCATGGAGAAGAGGCGTCTCGACAGTTTTGCCAGCAAGCCATCTCAATACGGCAGCCTCCGAGATGACGGAGGCTCGTTCAGATCGCAGGAGCTTGACCATGGGCGGCGGGGGAACGACGAGAACCAGGCTCGCTCCGGTGGAGACTTTGACTCCATAGACGCGTTGGCAATGGACCGATGGCATCACCTGGACTTGTTGGACGGTGGCCTGGGGTACCAAACGGCTTATAACGGTCTGTATGGGCTTTGCCGGAGGAGGCGGCGCACACATGGACGTCTTCGACACTGTATTGTGGTACAGGTTCTGCCCTATGGAAGGTCGATGCGTGACGGGCGGGATGCTGCAGGTTTGCGAAACGCTTTGGCAGGCGAATGGTATGCAAGGTGAAGTCGAGGTGTGAGTGCGGTGACACCAACCAGGAGCCATGTGGTAGGGGTTGGGCGAAGTAGCTAGATATAGCGAGCCCTCTACGGCTTTCCAGGCGAAGGTGTCGGGATTTGCAAGGTCGTGTTGCGGCGTGATATGGACACACGGAGTGGTCCGGCCGGGGACTTTGGACGTTTTCATGCCAACAAGGGCAACACCAAGAGATCACTCCAATAGAAACGGGGTGTCTAGCGAGGCGGATTCGAAAGGGTGAGCCGGCAAGTGAGGTTTACGGGGAGTATTCGCTTATCTCATCCGGGCCGGATGATGAGGATGATGATGATGATGGTAGCGCACCAGGTATGTGCATGAAATCACGGAAAGATGAGTCGACCACAAGCGAAAGGACGTTCGGCGATGAACAGGGCAGAGGGTGAGGGCGTTTGAGAAGCCAGGGGTGTGAAGGTCTGAGTGGGCAGGGCAATGCCAACGATGGAGTGAGTGAAGCTGGTCCACACACGAACCCTTGTTGGCGAGAAAAGACGGTGGTCGTCCGAGTAGAGGTCGGGGCGGCAGCTGTTTGAGCTGGCATGAGTGTCTTCGTACGCCTCAAACGAGAAGACAAGACAGATGAGAGGCACAGGGTAAGCTACGCTACGCAGTTGCATTGCAGCGGTCGAGGCGAGAAGCGAGACATGATGGGCGGGCGGCGCAAAGACCAGGCTCGAGGACATGAGCTTGATGAGGTAGCCAAGCATTGAGGATGACCTTGAGCTGTTCCAGGACAAGTGAGATCGGTCGAGAATAATCCAACGCACGAGATGAACTAATGAGAAGGCGCAACAGGCGAGAGAGCAAGAGGTTGATAGACTAAGGCCCGATGGCTCGGTGGTGACGGGCGAGGCGTCGTGCAAGGAGCAACACACTGGCTGAGTGGGTGGGAAGAGGGAAAGGCGCTCAATGAGCGTGTGAGGAATAAGCGAGAGAGACAACACTAAGAAGCGACGACGTATAAGCTGTCTGCTAACATCCTACCTTGAGCTAAGTACCTACTTTGCCCATGAGGTGCGCAAGGGAGGGAACAAGCGCGCAAAGGTACCAACGGGCACATTATGGACCTCTATGAGCGTGTGTGTGTGAGAGACTGGCACACAAGCGTGCACATACACATACAGCAGAAAGACGGAAAGGAAGAAGGAGAGGGAGGACCGAAAATGTGACTGAAGAGTGTGTGAATGGATCTCACGGACATAGACCGAGAAGAGAGATGAGGTACCGTAGTGTAGATGAAAAAATGTCGGAAAAGGAGAAGACAGGCAGGGGCCAGAGAGGGGCTCTGCAACGCAGGATGCCAACAACATACGAAGGAATGTGCCACTTGGGGTCAAGTCAAGCGAGGTTGCAGATGATGGTCTTTTACTCCCCATGGGAGAGAGAGAGAGAATAAGCGTCGTAGTCTTGGCTATTCATGCAGTGAACCATCTCCACATACGCATAGGTAGCTTACCTATGCAGGCACTGGCAAGTGAGGCAGATAGGTATTCCTGCAACTAGTTAAAAGTAAGAGCAAAGTGTGTGTGTGAGCCAGGGACATCCAGGCTTGTCAATTTTCATCGCGGTGTGAAAAAAGGTTGGATGGTCCGCGATCTGGGGAGGTGAGGTTGGTGAAGAAGTGGAATGAATGGAGGAAATCTATTCGCAGGGTTCTCGTCATGGGATGGGGGCTAGCCTCTAGGTAGGATGGTGACAGGGAACCCCCAGCGAGACTCTGCATCGTCAAGCGAGCCGGGGATTTGTTGATTGGCCGCGATTAAGCGAAACTGGCGGGTCTCGGATCCCCGCCCGCAGCGTCGGGGCGGCCACCACCCACTCACCCACTCTTTCCTCATCTCACATTCTCACATTTCCCACGGATACAGATCCATGCCAACGGATAAACACCTCAAGATTCAAGGATAGCCATGCCCGGTAACCTAGGTGCCTTAAGATGAGATGAAAGCTTTGATACCCCAGATTATGGCCAACTGCCAAGTGTCTACTACGGTGCCTAAGTTTAGGATGAGTATGTTCAATTGACTATCGTGTCCTCTTTCAATACCTATATCTCATGTACGGAGTATGCCGCAAACCATTGAAAGATCTGCCATTTTCAAGTTTCTCCCAGGAACGCTGGCCATATTGGGTTGAAAAGGCATCAGATATGATCCTCGACGCTCACGCAATACGTCGGAAATGCAAGCCCAAGATCCAGCCCGCCAGCGCAGGAACTTTTGCTAGCGTCAAGCCGATTTGGCGAAGCATGCTGATGCAAGTCATACTTGAACTACTGTTTCCTTACTCTCTAGTTGCTGTCACCAGTACTCCGTGCACCTTACACCTCAACGTCGAGGTAGAATTATTTTTACGAGACAGCTGCATTAGATGTATAACGGTCAGACGGTCGCATTATGCAAATGTCAAATCACGCTCGCAATACGAAGATAAGATACCTTGGCTTCCGTCTAAGTAAGAGCTGGCCAAGTGAGGTACGTATATCACCTAGCAGTAGGTAACTAAAAAAAAGACGGGCAATGTAGAAGTTCTGCATCAGACATTTCAAATTCCCCTCACTCAGCCAGGCGGAATCCACTTGCAAAAGGGCTATGCTGCAAAGGCCTGATATTTACATGCACCAGGTTCGTAACAGTAGCCAATGCTAGCTTTCCGGATCGACCTCACGAGGGGGGGCCGCCGACCCCAAGCTCCAACATAATTATTACCAAGGGCCAGCTGACATGATGTGGTGGAAGCGGCCCAAGGGACGGATCTGGATCCCAAATAGAAGTTTTGGAACGTTCCATATGCTGGAGACTCGTCAAAATTATACTGATAAGGCTTAGCGCCGTCATGGTCGCAGATGCGTGCACTCCACACGGCTTACACCTCACTCCACCCCGGGCGCTCGTCTTTCAGCTGCCACTTTTCCACCAACACAACACATCGGTGACCGCATTGCACCCATGTCTGCATCGGTCTCTCCATATCCCATATCACGTTGCAGAAATATCTTGCCAAATTTTCATCGGGCACTCGGTAGAGCTAGGCTAATTGATGGCTCATTCTACACCCAATATCTCACCGGTACGAAATAACCCTATCTGTTCATACTACAGTTATGAAGCCCTGGAATTGCGAGTGTTCATAGCAACTCAGCCCGCATAACATCCGTGCTGGGAAGTATCCCACCTTGTATGATGAGATTCGGATTCAACAATTGTCGCAGTCTATTCAGAAGTTGTTGCGTCCTGTAGGTAGGGAGGGCCAGGAGCCATCGTCAAGGCCAAGGCACCTAACCAATATTGATAGAAGAGCCGGTGCACAAAGGGGATACATAGTACAACATCGAGAGTCTCTATGGATCTATCTCTCGGTGAATTGGAGGGGCCTTATCGGCTTCCTTGCTACACGATGTCTTTACAGGGAACCAGAGGGTGCCAAAGGTCCACCAATTTCAAATGACTGTGCCATGCAAAAGGGTCATTCCCAAGCAGCAAGAGGCAGACAGCAACATGCACCTACATGGGAAGAATGGGTGGAGGAGTAGGGGGCCCATTTCTTAGCAAAATGCAAGTAGGTGAACCACACTCTTCCTCAACTTTTGTCATGTGGTATTCGCAAAGACCGGCTGCCTCTTCGGCTTAGGTTTTCACGAATGTTATTCGATAATTGGTTTCATCGTTTGCATGATTAATGTTCTCAAGTGTACCCTTCACAGCCTTTTACACTACTCACGCTGTCTTGTCTTCACCCTCCTTTGGTGCCGGGCGATTTGCCTTTGCTCCAGGAGACGCCTTGTACAGTTCGTTGACGTTGAGCTTCTTCAAATCATCCCAGTCACTGCGCTCAATAACACTCATGCCGCAGAAACTCTGCAAATCAGTCAGTTGACGCTCGCCAGCTCTATCCTGCTAGTCTCAACTGACCTGGAAAACATCAACAAGTATAACCTTGTCGGCGTTGGTGAGATCGACCTTGTGCCGCGGGCTGACGACGCTGGCGATTTGCTTAATGAGCGTGTCGCGATCAAGCGAGTTGTTGCTGCGTATGGAAGGTCGGATAGCGTACTGCTAATGTGTCAGCGTGAGTCACCCAGTCACGGGTTGTCGTCAATGAACTTGCCGTGCACGCTGGCTTCTCGACCTGTGCGTCACTTTTACCCTCAACCTTCTCGGCATCGCCTTCTGCGGCCTGGGATGTCTCCTCTACGAGATCAAAATGCGCAGCCAGAGCCTTTCTCGCTGCTCGCGCCACACCGTTCTCGGATGCCTTGTCCACAGAGGTGACTGGCGTCAGTCGGTTAATGTACTTGGTCTTTCGCTCCTTGAGATCAGTGCAGACGCTGGCGTCTAGGCACATCTTACGGCAAAGCTCCAAGGGGTCGACGGGGTCTCTTGTCTTCATGAAGAAGACACACTCGATGCCAGCCTTGATGGCCTTGAAGGTACGCTTAGTCTTGCCTTTGTTGACGTCGCTGATACCATCGAGCTCCTTCTTGATAGAGGCCTCGATGTCCTCGTCTTCTTCATCTGATTCGACTTCTTCCCCTGGAGGTACGATGCCGTAGAGTGTCTTGGCGTACTACAGGGCGTCCAGTCGTGTGAGTGAGCGCAAAATGGAAACTACCGGCAGAATCAACGAACCTCGTCGCAAAGTGCGCTGAATTCGCTAATGGACTTTCCATCCATGCCTCTGGCAAAGGTGACCCAGATACCCTTGTCTCCGACTCCAAGGGCTACGCCCTTATCTTGAAGACTGGCGACCTTTGCCTTATGTTGCGGCGTCTGCCATTTACCGGAGCCTTGTCCACCCTAGTTCCTCATCAGCCATGAACTTATATGAGAGGATGGAGACTCTTCTTATAAGCTTGACAAGCCAGGGCCGGGAAGAATGAATTGCGCATTGCACTCTGCAGAAATCTTATGTAAACATACCTTGCTTCTCTTCGCGGGATGGCCACCGCCACCACCCGACTGCTTCCTCTTTGCGTCTGTCATTTCGTACGAACTTTACGAGCTGCCGCTGTGAAAAAGAAGAAGAAAAAAATGCTGCTCGGTTATGAATCGCTGCGCCTGCGCCTTTGTGAGCTGTGAGTATGGAAATTGTGGCTTGTGGGATGGCTGAGAAAGAAGCTTGGTGTGTTGTGCAAGGTAGCTAGAAGGGGTAAAAATTGTCACACCGCCCTGAGGCAAGAAACCAGACGAGCTGGACCCGCTATGCCTCCTGGCTTCTTCCTGCACCTCAGCTTGCAAAGTATTTCCTCATCAACCAGGCGACGTCAATACCCATCAATTTAATGTTCATTGATTGAAGCTTATGTGTTGCCGTGAAGAATTCAGCGTCAGAGGTCTCTGGAACGGGCGTCGTGTTGTTTGGACCTTTGGGCCGGACCATTACCAGCATACGCCATGAAAATCGTAGTTTGCAAGCCAACATACGATTCGGGCATGTTTTCTAAAACTTCATTTCACGACATCTCACTTAAGCACTGTGACGAGGGCATTTATCCAATGTCACCAGTCGCAAGACTTGACTGTCCCGGACCCAAAGTGGGTGGGAACGCGGAACGATGCCACCCGAACATATATCAAATTACGTCAACTTCATCTCGTCTACTCTTCGAGTACTAGAGACAAGGCTACTAGAAAGAGAAGTCGCGCCCATTATCCAATTGCTGGCTATAATCTAGCATCGATAATCAGGCAAGCCAAAATGACAATAAAGAGACAAAACTTGCACAGGTCCCTGCAAACTTGGGACGCAGACCGGAGATCGACGTGTGCCGAGCCTATCATATTTGTATTTATCTTCTATGTTATTGCTGATTGCTCGGGCGTAAAGCGGTGCTCGATACAACAAACCCCCCTTCGTCCTTTTCTTTTGGCCATCTTCAATACTTGGGCCCTGATTCAGTGGAGGCAAAGACCCTTAATCGCAAGATAAGGACGAGGTGATACACTGGAAGAGTGCGTCCAATGTCTGTAAACGACGAGGCAGAAATCCATCACAACTTAATGATAGCGGGTGCACAAGAATAACCAAACATTCATCTAGTTCATGTATACTCTAGCAGTAGTTCCACTACGTTTTGAAAACCAAAAATCTAACACCATAGACGATTATAGAACCAAAACATTACTTCTAGCCATGCGCCGGGAAACCCTTTTCCTGCGCCAAGGAAACAAAAACCCTATTCTATGACAGCATCGTTACCGTCTCTTACTCGACCTTTGCGTTGTTTCTAGCGCTGGCCTCGGCAGTCATGATCAAGGCTCTCGGCGCATCCTCCTTGGGGAGGTAGAGCTCGACGAACTGCAGTGTTGTGGGGTTATTGAACTCCTTGTCGGTCAAGAGCTTCTCGAGTTCGTCCTTTGTCTTGACCACGAATTTCTTGGCTGTCTGCTCGGTGCCGCCGAACACTGTCGCAAGCTCCTTGTACTGCCACTGGACAATGTCGTTGTACTCAGCCTCCATGCCGTGGATGAAGCGCTCGATGGTGTATCCATCGTTGCAGATGACGAAGCTATGATACAACGTTAGCATGAAATCCTTACAGCTGGTACGAGGGAATGGCAGGTTTCAACTCACATTGTCGTCTTCAAGCCATGGCGCAGCATGGTAGTGACCTCCTGGGCCGTAAGCTGGAATGATCCGTCGCCGACGAAGAGAATCGTCCTACGATCCTCTCCCGCGTCCTTGGCAGCGAGAGCCGCACCTTGGGCAGCACCGACAGACCAGCCGATGCTTCCCCAGAAGACCTGACTCAAAGCCGTAACTCCAGCGGGGAACTTGGTGTCCCAGATACCGAAGTTGGCCGTTCCTGTCTCGGTGACGACGATATCGTTCTCGCGAAGGTAGTTGCCAACGCGAGGCCACAAGTAAGCCTGAGTGATGGTTTGCGAGGGGTCCGAGTTGGGGCTGGGCACTCTGTTGATGACCTCGGGTGATGTGACGACGGAAAGCTGGCCCAAGTCGAGACGCTCAGTGACCTTGCGGAGGACTCCGCGCATGGTGATGCCAGGGTACTCAGAGTATCTGACTCTCATGTGTGTGCTGTGGAAGTCGATAGTGTTCAGCTGTGATGTCCTGTAAGAGAATCCAGCGGTGTTGAAGTCGCTCTGTAATACTGTTAGTGGCCTGTCTTTGAATATTGGTAGTGTGTGGATTAATTTACCTTAAGACCACCAATGGACAAGATCAAGTCTGAAGACTCGAGTCGCTCACCCACGTCGGGCTGCGAAGCGGTACCGGCGTATACACCACCATAGTTGGGATGAGTCTCGTTAACGGCACCCTTTCCCATGGGTGTTACGAAGACAGGAATCTTTGTCTTCTCAAGTAGGGCGTGAACCTCAGGGAGAACGCGGTGGCGGATGGCGCAGGCGTCAATCAGCATGACGGGCTTCTTGGCGCTGTGAAGGGACTTGAGGATAACGTCAACGACGTAGTCCTCTCTGTCGGGATCGTTGGTGGCCTCCTCGAGGTCGATGGGCGTGGTCAGGCGCTGGCCCTCGATCTTCTTCTGAACCATATCGGTGGGAAGCATAATGTAGACGGGACGACTGCGGATCCAGCACTCTCGGAGAGCATGATCGATCTGGTTGGCGATCTCGGCGGGGTTGTTGAGGCGGGCAACATCGCATGAAACTTGAGAGCTCATGTTGGAGAAGACGTTGAAGTCGCCATTGCCAAGGGTGTGGTGCAGGAGCATGCCGTTCTTCTGGGAGATGGTGGAGGGGCAACCGACAATGTGTACGACGGGGATGTGTTCTGAGTAGGCACCAGCAAGAGCGTTGATGGCGGAAAGTTCACCAACACCGAAGGTGGTGATGATGGCAGAGATGCCCTTGACACGGGCGTAACCATCGGCAGCGTAGCCTTGAAGAAAGTCAGCTCGTCGAAGCTTACTTAGTATCTTGCTAGATTGTAGGGTTGCTTACCGGCATTGAGCTCGTTGACATTGCCAACCCATTTCAAGTCGCATTGGGGAAGATAGTCAAGGGCAACGAGGTTGAAGTCACCGGGAAGACCGTGAACGGAGCGGACTCCGAGCTCGTGAAGCCTCTTGAAAAGGTATTCGACGACGTCAACAGGCTCTATGAGCCCTTGAGTTCTGATATCAGCCATGCTTGAATTGGTGTGTGAGCAGCTGATAGTGTATGAGGGGTAGCTCTGGATGCTGCCTCTAGTGTTTGTTGGAGGGATGCTTTGTATGTGTAGATCTGGAATGAAGAAGGAGAAAAATAATTCCAAGTCAAAGCCAGAGGCGTATAGACTTATATCAAAGTCAACGACCTGTGGAGATGGCGATGTTGTTGATGTTCCCAGTTGGACTCGGACTCACTCGAGTCTCGGCATCAGTGCATGGGTCGGCCAGGATCGTCAAGTCAGACCACTGGCCATTGCAGATTGAAACAACAGGGTCATCGGCGATGGGCGACAGCTCATGTAGCTCCATTTTCGTATAAGTGACAAGATACTAAGAGCCAGCGAGGCGGCTGAAGCGCAGTGGGTACCGGGTCTCGGCATGCCACGGGCTCTATCAAGATTTGGGTGAAAAGGGACCAAGATTGGGTCCTGGCACCAGACGGAAAAAGACGCGAGATGATAGCGTTGTTACCCGTCGTAGTGCGGCTCAGAATACGGTAGAAGGCGAGCAGACAACGGTGTATTGCACCGAGTAAGGAGACACAGTCAACGGTGATGTAATGGAACACGCCACAGGTTGCGGTCACCAATACACCGGGCTCAAGCCGGACTAGACCGGGGGGCTCCGGATGTGAGGTGAGGTGAGGTGAGGTCCCAGATATCTGAGGGAAAAAAGGATTTATTTTGGTACCCTGTCACTATTCGACATAAGGCAACATTTTACGGATAGTGAGACAATGGAATGGGACGATAATAAAGTTGCTCGCGTTCAGGGCAGAACAGGGAAGAAGGTGTGCGTATCCGTACTGTGCATCCGTATCCGTACGTGGTTTGTGGGTCCTTTGGGAGAGAGAGTGCAGAAGAGAAAAGTGACAGTTCTGGGCAGCATAAGGCCTAGAACACGTCAGGACCAACCGACCCTTGTTCCTGCCCGTGAGGCAAGCCCGCTGCCCGGCTGGCAACTTGGCGAGGTACGCAACCGTTGACAGCATGGGATCTGCGCCCATCTCGTCGGGATTCTGCGGCGTGCCATGCTGTCTCCCACCCTCCCACGCTCCTTATCCGTACGAATTCACATTTTAGCCGAACTTGGAACCTTCGCATCCTGCTTTGAGCCAACATAAGACCATGACATGAGCTTGGAACCTCAAGGATCAGCGACGATGCACTGTTACGACTCAGACAGTTCCATGGGGGTTGTAGCTTCACTTCCGGTTTTCCCTGACCGCCCCTTCTTGTTGTTATCGTACGCAAAAGGGGGGAGGGGAGGGAAAGGAAAGAGGCGCACCATTCGACATGATCTGATGTTGGGCCCAGCCTATCGGCCCTGCTACGGCGCAACGGCCCAAATAAACCGCAAGTACATAGTGCATCCATCGTGCGCCTGTAAGCTGCGGAGCCGGGCCCGGGACCCGCTACGCTTGACTTCGGGCCGCCGCTCGAAGACCGAATTATATCGCGGCGCCACTCGGAGGAATTACTTGGGCCCAAGGTCCGAAGCTGAGGGCGGCCGAAGAGAACGACTGACTTCATCCCTTAATTTTTTTATTAGTTTTTGAGCAAGTTTCCCCAACAAAATACTTGATCAACTATCAATTTGACAGACCAGCTCCAACACTGGCCTATTCCTCCTGCCCGGCAGGATCCTGCAAATATCAGATCATGTTTTGAGGATCAGCAATGGCCAATGGGAGAAGCATGACGAAGATCTGCATGCATGAGTTTCTCCAACGACAGGAATCTGTCATTCATGATCTCAACCACCTGCAAGCAACGACGCCCAATTCTTGGCAAGTAGTGTGCCGCAAAAGTAAAGTCTTACAAGCAACCTCTTACGGGCAATCCTTTACAGATAGTCTGCTTGTTTCACTTTTGTTCTATGTGGAGGGTATAGTATTCTACATGCGGTTCAGCATGCTGTCTTGCTTTGCTGCCGCTGGGAGAGTTGCATCGTCTATCAGTGTCCAACACCCGTAGCCATGTTCGCGATATTACTGCGTGTGCCCGTCGCCTTTGGCCGTTTTGTTTTGTACACATTTATACATTTCGGAATTTCGAACCGCGTCGCTTTTAATCACAGCGACCGTCTTTCCAGCCCGTCCGCCATCGCTCTTCCCATTTGCTGCAGTCAAACTCCTTCTTGCCCAGCTTCCGATTGACCTCGTTGTGCGCCTCGCACAGCCAGTTCCCAAACTCGCTCCGCCCCTCAACTCGAATCTGTTCCTTTTGTATGTATGTTTGGAAATCTTCGGCGCAAACCCAGCAAGGGTACAGCTTGGAAAATAATCTCATGAAACCTCGGAGGTCGTCTTTCTGGGTGGGAGAAGGCTTTTCGGGGTACGTCGCGGCGATCGAGTGTAGCAGTTGCCAAGTGCCTCGTCCGAGGGCTTCGACGTCCGGGGGACAGTCGTCAACAGGCGCCGAGGTCACCGGGGTTGCTTTCTTCACCGAGCCGCCCATCTGGGAAGCCCAGCTCGAAAAGGCGCTCTTGGATGAACAAGACCGACATCTGAAGGTAACCCATGTCAGCTGTAACTCTGGGAAGGGAGCACGCACGGATCGGGCCAATGCCGACACATCGCCGCTGAGATGGACTTGGGAACTTACGGCTTGCCATCTGGGCCCAAGACCATTCCCTTTGGTAAAGGCTTGGGCTGCTCAGCTGCCGCCGTCACCGCGGGGGCAGTGGCGCTGCTTAATTGAGGGTCTCGCTCGGCGTCGGCCATGACGGTACTGCTGTGCGAGATTTTCGCCCTTGTCGCGAGAAGCGAAGCCAATATCGACGGGCCCTATAGAAAGAGAATGGATGCGACAAGGGACTTGAATGGGGTGATCTACCAAGTGCGCGCGATGTCGGACAGTCTACAAGTTTCGGTTGGGAGGAATTTGTAAGCTGGTGGACTGTGACGATTGAATGTTCATGGCGGACCGTTATCGATAAGCCATCAATTTGCGAGGTGCCTGAGCGCCTCAAGTCAGGTAGGCAAGCCACTAAAGGTAAGGTACCAAGATCGCAAGGCACTAAGTGTTCTCGATCTGAAATCCCAAAGTGATGATGCCGGGTCCACGGATGGCCGGCTCCCGTCGGCAAGCGCCGGGAGAGCTCCGATGTGTGACACCCGGTACCTGCAATGGGGATTTAGTCTGGGTTGGTTTGGACCTTGGTGTGGCGTGAGGCGAGAGTCTCACGGTTTACGGATACCAAATGCTGCAATCGGCGCCTTACCGGAGGATCCGCTGTTCAATCGATCCCACGCCATCCGCAAGGTACCGAAGAGATGAGGTGGGGTGTTTCTTGTCTCTGAGCCGCATGGCAGTCATCCAAGGTCAACCCATTTGGTGACCCTGGCAGCTGTCTTTTCGGACCGTCGAAATGCATCCATGACCCGGGAGTTATTGCAGGAGTATCCGTAAGGCAAGGTATGAATAGTTCCACTTGATCCCAGCCACTGGGTGCTCTCTACTTATTGCCACTCGGGAGCAGGCCATGTGTCTGTGTATTCTCCGACAACCCCCATTTAAATCTCCTGAGCGGGTGATTTGTACTTGACGGTGTTTCGCAAATCTTATACGAGGAACTCGCCGAGATGCTGTATTACTTCGTTGAATATGCGTTGGACCTGAGATTGGCCTTGAAGTAAAGAATGGCGATGAAGGCGAGTCGCTGAATGGGGGGTTTTTGTGTAAGTGAACTGGCACTGACTTACCTAAGACAGTACGTAACTCTATTCCAGCTAAATTCACCCTTCAGCGGGGCATCATCGCTCAATGCGATAATGCCATAACCGTTGTGCTAGCGAAGTCAACTCCGAGGAAGCGTACCTAGCTGAGCGGCAGATCGCCACCGTTGATATTCAATGAATTCGAGACGACCAACTGTTTAATTCATCCGACCGCTTGATGGGCGACGCATAATACCGCAACGATATTCGCCATGGCTCAGAACCCCTCAGCAACTCCAGTGGCCAAGGTGCCCGTCCTGCTTCTCAAGACCAAATCAACCCCAGGCGATTCATACGAGGACCTACTCTCACGTGAAAATGACGGGTATGCCTTTGAACCAGCTTTTGTCCCGGTCTTACACCACACCTTCCAGGAACAGGGCATGACGACGGTGAGGGACGTCTTGCAGCACCGTGGCATCAATGCTGGCACCGACGCCTCTTATGGCGGTCTCATCTTCACCTCGCAGCGAGCGGTGGAGGCATTTGCCAGCCTGGTAGATGAAAGAAAGGGTCAGTCCGTGTCGTAGATGAGCATGAAGGGCATAGCTGACCAGATTTGACAGGCACTGAAGAAGACTGGCCCCATCTCCAGGACGTGCCAGTCTACAGCGTTGGCCCAGCCACCACACGAGCTCTCCAGTCCACCTCACAGCATGCCCCGTTGCAGATCTTCGGCGAGCACACGGGCAATGGCGATGCCCTGGCCAAGTACATCCTGGACCATTACGGCCAATGGTACCAAGGACGGCCGACGAAGCCACCGCTTCTCTTCCTCGTCGGCGAGCAGAGACGGGACATCATCCCCAAAACCCTCATGAACACCAAATTGCCCAGCGAACAAAGGATCCAAGTGGATGAGGTCGTGGTCTACGGCACAGGCGTCATGGAATCTTTCCCTCAAGACTTTGAGAATCACCTGAAAGCCACCGAGGACCGGCCGACGCGGTGGGTGGTTATCTTCTCCCCGACTGGCTGCGAAGGCATGCTGCGCGGGCTCGGAATGCTGGACGAGTTCACGGGTAAGGTCAAGAAAGACGGGCTGGAGGGGCGAAAAACATTCATTGCAACGATTGGCCCGACGACGAGGGACTATCTGAGACGAACATTCGACTTGGATCCAGATGTTTGTGCAGAAGAGCCAAGTCCAGCAGGCGTTCAGCGAGGCATCCTTGACTTCATGGGAAAGCATACATGACATCTTTCCGTCAATATACAGAACTGTTAAATGAACCGCCCAGAGTGACAATTGAACAACAAGGAGACCGACCGTAGGGTGTGCGCTGCAGCCACTGCCTACGATGATCTGATTTCAAGTGTGAATACTCGGTGACCTCAGCCCGTTTCCCTTCTCGAAAGCCGCCAGCGCATACAGATAGCCTCAGCTAATTGAACCGTCTTGAACTCTCACACCGGCAGTTAACAATTACTCAGAGCCCCCGGACCGACACTAGGAGTTCAGACGTAGGCTGAGGTGCAGTAACAGAGTATAAGACGTTACACGGGCACACACGATGAAGCGGACGGAACCTGGTATGGGGCTGAAAGTACGTTTTGATTGGCTGCATGTCCATTAAAATCGAGACGCGACCCACACGCGTCTTACGCGCTCTCCTAAGCTTTCGACGCGTCGCAAACCAGGACGCGTTGAATGCTACACGGTCCACAAGGCCCAACCTGGGGGCCTTTTGGATCCATTCTTAACCGTGACAAAAAAAAAGTTGGTCAAAAAGACACAGAAAAACAGGCTTCTACATGTGAAGCATTTGCTGAGCCGGGAACATACAATTGCCTCACACTCATTCCGATTTGGCGCTCTCAACGCCTCAAGTTCCTTGCGTGGTCCTACGCGTGAAATGAATATCAAAGGCTCAAAAGAATTTTTTCGTAATACCGTCTCCTTGTCGAGGTAATGTTGCTTATAATAAAGCTATTCGTGTCCCTCGGGAAAGAAATTGCGGACAGAGACGGGGGGTAGAATCTCCGCTTTTTGCGTAGGTTACGCCGGGGCCGACATGGCTAGCGTTTGGTATCATTCAAATATAAAGTGTTGGTGATAATGGTGACGAGGAGAGAGCCACAAGGCGCGTCTGTTATGCATCTCTCTTTAAGCCAGGGGCTCATCGAACGTCAATCGTCTCCTAGCTAGACTGACGGGAGTCCTTGCCGAGGAGAGAGCGACGGGTGTCTTCCATGCCTTTTGGGCAGGACTAGGCGTGATGTTGACAAAATCTGCAAAGTCAAAGCCTTGCCCGGGTGTGTTGGGAAACATGTTGCCGCCGCCTGGAGTGGTCATGTGAGACGAAGGCAAAGTCATGTCCCGACTGACCTTCGGAGGAGGCGTCGAAGGAGGCTCCATCCTGGTCTTGGCCGAAGGGACGGCGGGTGACGGAGAAGCAGCCAGGTACAGCAGAAGGTCGGCGCCTTCTTGGCCGGATTTGACGGGTCCACCGTTGGCACCTTGGTCTCTAGTACGGCGATTGGGCAACACCCGGTTGCGCATTGGTGGTGTTGTAGGAGGTGAAGACCGAATATTCGTGGCCCTGAATGACTGCACGGGGAGGAGATCGTCTTCGTCGTCCGAGGCTGCCGCAAAGTTTGGCGATACTAGGTCGTCTGCCAGTCTTCGAGCCCCTTGAAAGAATGAAACATCGGGACCAGTAGATGTAGTGAAGTGCTGCTGTCTCCTAGGCTTAATCGGAGACGACTGCGCCAGCTGATGGCTCTCTTTCCACGAGGTATGACCGTGCAGCGACTTGATGGGGGTAGGGGAAGAACGATAGCGTTTGCTCGGACTAGACGATGGACAATCGAAAGAGGCCATGTAAGTGCGCTTGCGATGACCGGTGCTTCCGTTGCTAGAGCCGATGGCGTCGGAAAAAAGGGGGGCTTTCAGAGGAGAGCTCATGAGGGTTCTCGTGGGATATGGAAGATCGGAGGCGCTCGAAGAGGAGTCGGACAAGAGGTCGCCCTCGGCTAAACGCTTCCGTCGCAGTTCCTCCTCATACTTTGGTTCGATGGTATCGAGTGTCAGGTCTTCCCAACCATGCTTGGTTTTGAATTGGGCCAGCGCGAGTCGGTTCTGTAATCTTCGGGCTATCTGGAAGATTGTTAGGTTCAGCGACTTATTGCATTGTGAGATATGCTGCGGCCTTTGCCACGGCCCTTTGTCGACATACCTTGCTAACCTCCACCCGCTTCAAGACCTTGTCCGCCACCTCTTCGGGCTGTTGCTTCCACACAGAAGACATAACTTGGAGGCTGGGCATGCAGTATTCCGTGGATTATGTTGACCGTATGGTTGGATGAGAACAGGCCCTTCTTCTCTAATCAATGCGATCCGAGGGCAGAGTGTAGGAAAACGAAGCGTCGTAGCCGTCGGTTGCCGCCTGCTATGGGTAAAGCGGGGGAAAGGAGGATGTTGGGTGACGGGAGTCAAGTGCAAAGGTCCGATCGTTGACCTGGGGGTGAGACCTTGAGAAGCCCGTAGCAACCAACGGTCAAAGGAATGGTGGATGAGGGGTTGAATCGTTCTTCTGGAATGCGTGGGAGGAGAGAGTGTGTGCAACAGCAGAAGAAGAATAAGGGTGTATGTGTGCGTCTTCAAGACAGAATCAAGGTAGGAAGTAGGAAGTTTTCCAAAGTCGAAGTCATGCACTGCGTCGTTGAGATTTTGCGGTGGAGGAGGATGGCAACGAAAGAACCTGGCTGGACGGGGAGAAAGAGGAAAGTTCGGATTGAGTGGTGTTTCCACCGGGTCAGCTGGCAAACGTAGCGCAGTGAGTGGCCCGGTCTCAGCGGACAGAGGACCCAGACGGGAAGTAAAATTCACCTACAGCCCAGGGCAGTGGAAGACACTGGACCCAACCAGACCCGTGGGCCACCTGCCGCTGCCGCTGCCGCTGGGCCCCTCTGAGTCTGCAGTCTGCCCGGGCACCCAGGTTTCCCATCCCATTGACGTGGAAACGAAGCGCCAAACGCCGGATCCAGGGCACCTCATACTACCCATCTGCCTGTCTACCTTAGGTATCCGTACTACCATCTGCCATCTGCCATCACCAGACTCTTGCTCTGGAAAGAACCTAAGGTAAGGTATCGCTAGTGGAGTGCTGTTTCGTGAGGTCGCCCGGACCTGCCCGTTCCTAAGGTACCTCAAAGTAAAGCCAGGTAAGGCACCTTAGGGAGGAGGCATTACATGCGTATCATGCTCGGTATACCTATTTGCATTCGATCTTGACTCCTAGGCAAGTCACATAGTGCACCTTGGGTAGGAGGACACACCCCCGTCGAGCTGAATGCCGATAAGGTAGGTAGCCTGTGTTGCCCCTTATGGCCAGCCATAGTAAGGTGTAGGTACCTTAGGCGCCTTGAGATGGGGAGGTCATGCTGAACTTCAGGTCCACGGATAGGTTCTACCACCAAATCAGTCCTATCCTTCGGGAGGTACCTTAGGTAGGTAGAAACCTTGGCACCTACCTTAGTTAGCTGTTCGTTGTCGAGGCCCGGGCAGAAGCGAGTGCGCGTGGATCAGAAACGCCTTACCACAAACGGATGCCAGGTTTCCCTACGACGGGTTTGCTCATCTAACTTGCACTTGTCACGGCAACTGAGGCGAGGGCGGGACCAAATAATTTTTCGTCCTGGTTGCCGACCTTATACTACCCGTACCTTGAAGCTTATTCAGAAACCGAGTTCGTGCTCGCCTTTTCGGTTCTTCGAAAAGCTCATCTAAAGGCTGATTTGATGTCCTATCCTGATGCATTGGTCATGTAGCGCGGAAGCAGGACCAAACACTTGGCTGACCAAAACTGCAAGTCTTGATCATACGCCTCACAAGACGTTGCTCTGTACCCTTTTTCATTCGAATTGTTGGTTACTAGTACTGCTGTCCGAAGACCATGGAGGGCATGGGACTCACTGTTGGCCATATGAGTATCCTTACGTCGTGGTCACTGGAATGGATGTCACTGGAAACGTCGTTGCGTTCCAGACCTTGTACGGAGTATGGGCATGAGACTGTCCAGCATTCCCGTCCGTGGATTCCTTCAAGATACCGTTGGCAGGGCACTCGTCTACCAATCACACATGCGGGCAATACATGCAACAGAGGCGCCCATGTGCCGAACCGGGCAGCCTCTGTCCGAATGGTAGTGACAAGTAGGCTGTCATTTCCCCATTGCTCCAGGAGCCCAGGGGCCAGGAAGGAAAAATCAATTAAGACCCCTGTCGTTGCTAACAGCTCCTTGGGCGCCTAACCACGCACACCACGCGTAAGCTAGTGAGTTCACTCTGCATCCCAGGCTCGTCAATCTCTCCCTGCCACCCCATTTACGACACCGAGTTAAGACATGCGTGGTTGCTCGAGCCTCGAGGGACCAACGAGCGTCCCTCGCGGGGTGAAATCAACCAGGTCTTGGGGACGAGTTGGATGCCACTGAGAAGAGAAGTAACCGCGAGAAGCCAGTCTCAGCACACCATTGTTGCCTTCTCTACAACCGAGAAGTGATGTCTGAACTCGCATCAGCCAACGTGTTTGTTCAACGACTGGGTACCTTCGGTAACTGTACCCTAACTGCAGAAACGATGACGGGAAAAAGTTGTTCGTGATGGTAGACATCGCCAAACGCACATCGCTTTCTCATGCTTGCAGGGTCAAGAAGCAGAACGTCATGCGGTACGCTGTCTGCCGATCATGAGAATACGAATGCCCGACGGACCTGATTCCGTATAATGTGCCTTCTAGTTGGTGGAGATAACTGGAGATCAAGACATGCGTCAGGTGATCTTGGACGGATACGTAACTACTCCGTCATAAGGTATTACTACGAGTAATAAAACGGATGGTCAAACCCCTCTAAGCGAGTATCTATCTTAGGAGGATATTGCCTTTACTTATGCACCAGGTGAATGTGGTACCCGACTATCGAGGGTAGAGTATGGATATACGAATAGCTGCAAGCAATTGAACTTTTCACGGATGGGAAAATGCCCATCTCCCACATCCTATTGTGCTTTCGGCGATACGACAGGTATGCAGACTTGCAGAATAGTGCAGGGAGGAAGAGTCTAGGTGGTAGCTGCAGCATGCGCCTGACAGGGGGCCACAACCAAGATAATTCGGACAAGCAGGAGATTCTCTCTCTCTCTCTCAAGTCTCAACTGATTTCTACATAAATATCGGAAAAGACTGACGCAGCA